GTTTTGTGCTGCAAAGCCGGATCAAGGTGCGAGAAGGCGTCAGCGTGGGAATGGGCAGCAGCCTGAGATGGCTCATGTGTTTCCACTTACGAGCATGGGCTTCATGGGCAGGGCCAACAGGGCAAGGGGCTCTGTACTTAGAAGCTGTACAAAATTCAACCACGCCCAAACTGACAAACTTCAGCCGGACCCCTATCATGTTAGCAGTCTTCTGTTCGGATATAACACTACCTGTTTCCGTTTCAATGCCATTAAATGAGAACTGCTTTGTTCTCTACATGTGGCGATATCTCTAGTAAGAGTAGACACGCAGACACACAGAAACACGGACACACACACACACAGGCACGCGCGCACACACGCACACACACACACACACACAGGCACAGAGCCAGAGACACGCGCGCGCGCCCCAACAGCCTCGAGTCTTGACTGGTACCCGAGCCTTGTTCACCTGCAATTGAAACGAAACCGTGCCGGTAATTTCGACGCTTTTCAACCCCGTTAATGGCTGTCAGCCTGCTTTGTTGAAGGAGTTTGTCATTAGAGCGATAAGTTTTGAGAAGCAGGCATCAGTCTGCTGAAACCGAAGAATTACCTGATTCTTCTGGAATTCAAGACCCTCGGGCTTGCCTATTAAACGACTTGGGTTTAGGGATGTCGGGTTTACTAGGGTTGTGGGCTTTGACATCTTGATCTGGGTGCCTTACACTCCAAGCCACAGGCCCTGACCCTGTGGAGCGATGTGTGCGCCGCTTTTTCGCGATGTCCTCAGTCGGGGCTTCCCTGAGCTTGAGGAGCTTGGGGTTTCATGGTATAGTGGTTTTGGGGGGTTATACAGAGTGTGCGGTTGTTAAGTCGAAGACATGCTGAGTTACATGTGTTTTATTCCATGTGCATGTTGCTCATGCGCCTTGTTTGATGGCTGTTGCAGTGCAGGCGATGGATGTGAGTCGAAATTGCGTCCATTACCATCGCAGCTTGTTTACTGCACGGGGTTTTGGCCAATTAGTACGGTTGATGATATAAATCCTGCATTACCCATAATAAGGAATATGCCATAATTCCCATAGTTTGAGGTCCTTACGGTAATGCAGGATTTATATCATAAACAGTAGCATGCATTGTCGTGTTCGACCTGTTCGGCTACCGGCCATTTCTGTGTCTAGACTCGGGATTTTGAGGCTCTTCAACCGCAGTCCACGACTGTAGTATTGTGAACGTCTGGTGCCTGCTAACTCCGGAAATGCTATTTTTCGTAAATATCCGTTTCAGATCCGTTTGGGGATCCTTTTGAATCCGTTGTCGATCCGTTTTGGATTTGTTTTGGGATGCGTTTGGGATCCAACCCAGCCGGCCCCAGCCCCGGCCCGGCAAACGGATCCCCCGACCGGACCCCCAGACGGGTGAACCCACGTTTCCCTCGAGAGGGATGCGTTTTTGAGCCGTTTTCGAGCCGTTGTGGATGCCTTTGGCGATCCGCTTGGGGATCCGTTTGGGGATCCCCTAATTTGGGGCCCTATAATACTAAGGGTACTTTATAGGAGCCACCACAAAAAGGGAGCTACTTTTTGGATCCGTTCGCAAATCCGTTTTGGGGTCCCACCGGGGCTGGGGCCAAAACGAATCCCCAAACGGATCAAAAACGCATTCCCCCATGCATGTACATGTAAAACGGATTACAGTATTAGGCTTCTGCGCAACAACCCAGTGTTAGCAGAACCAGATTATTTCACAACTGTAGTACGAGTGGCATTAAGATGGGCACCCAGATCGGCGGTAGGTTTAAGGGACTAGAAGCAACCCGAAGATTTGTCGGCTGCCGCTTCCGTCCTGTCGATTTCATGCATGTGCGCCCAAAAGCTTGTTCCAGCGAGTTATGTCTAGTTATCTCAATGCTTATGAAGTCTTGCCCGGTGTCACCAATTCGCGAACATCTTGGGATCTCTCGTACCGATGCGCACGTTCCCCAGCAGGTTTATTTATCTTGTATTGTCTTTGCGGCAACGAAGAAGCCGGCGCGTGCTTTCCAGCAGAACCTTAAGCCTCCCTTCCTCCAAAACCTTCAGCCGCAGCTGTTTATTCTGCAGCTCCTCGTAGGAATCCACGGCAAAGTCCTTGGGACATCTCACACGGCAGCGGCCACGGCAATACCGCGAGCCCCTGAACCCTCAAGCTGCCACCCCGAATAGAACCCTCAAGCTGCCACCCTAGGGTTTAGGGTTTAGGGTTTAGGGTTCAGGGTTTAGGGTTTAGGGTTCAGGGTTTAGGGTTTAGGGTTTAGGGTAATAGTTTATCCTACAAAGCTACATTTTCTACAGCTCTTGCTGACCCAGAGGCCTTTGCTCACCCAAACTCACACCTTCCCTCGAAGGGCTAAACCCTATAAACTGCCCTAGGCTCCGAGTGCACTGGCAGCGTGCAGCAGACTGCTAGGATCAGGATGCCTGCTTGTGTGAAGCTTGCACGTTGATTATAAGACCTACAGATTCGGTTGCGAAAGGGAATTCCAAGCAGGCACTGTCCAACAACCCGAAGAAGCCCTACATACCCGCACCACAACCCAAATATAAATTCGAACTTCAAGGCCTGCAAGCCCTTAGTCCTGAACTCTCACATCTTGCGAGGCGGACTAACAACTTACAACAGAAGCACCTAAGCCACAAAAGGTTCAACTCAAATCTTCGGTAGCTGGCTCTTTGCAGCCCAGCCGCTTTGGAATGAGCCTCTGGACATGGAGCAGGACGGCGAACACACCGCTACTAGGCTGAATAGTTCGGTCTCCCTCGGACTCACCGAAGCTCGTGTTGCTTCAGCATATAGTAAATCCCATAAAGTCGGAAACCGGATTAAGGCCAGATAGTGCTGGGATTCCCTATATATCAATCTTAAGGGTCGCGGCTATTGGGTTTCCAACTTTTGGGCTTCTACTGTAGACTTAACGATCTTGGATTTGGAGCACAAGCACTGGGCCTCACCGATGCATGTATCCCAAAGGGGGGCATAAGACTAGGATACTCAATCCGAGAAAGGATGTATGCAGCAGCATGCATTTCATTTCGAACGTGTTCCGCCCGATCGGATATATCCCATGTACTCTTTTGAACTAGCGTAGACGCGAATTCTTGGCCTAGTCAAGACCTGTCCAAGTGTGAGTGCAATCTCACTCGTCGTATCAGGATGGACTTACATGTTCCTTCCTTGTTGCTGAGAGTGCCCTTGACCATTAGTAAAGCTTCTACGATGTGGGATGTGTCGCAAGGTCTACGCTACAAAGGCCAGAAGCCAGGTTCCCCTGTTTGCTTTAATGCCAGCTAGCCCCGTCCAAGGGATGCTCCTCGAAATCTTGAGAGCAGCTAGCAAAATCTTTCTGGGTTTAGAGTTAGGGTTTAGGGTTTAGGTTCTGTGCTCAGCGGGGTGCTGGCATTCATCAAGTCCAGATGTAAAAGGTAAGCTTGAAAGGCTGTCTATCCAAGGCTGTGGTCAGCAAACGTACCGTCGCCCGATGGAATCGTAAAGTCCAGACACAGACGGTTGCCAAGGATTTGCCTCATGTCAACCTTGTGTTCATCGGCCCATGCAGCAGCGGCAAGCTTCTCGATCAGATTCGAGGTGTGGAATCGGTCATGCGGACTGCTTGAAAGTTTCGGGGACATGCTGTTGATGATACAAATCCTGCATTACCTTAAGGACCCTAAGCTGTGGGAATTATGGTTAATTCCTTATTATGGGTAATGCAGGGTTTCTATCATCAACCGTAGAATCACAGGTTGCAGAGTTCTTGAGACGACCGGAGGTCAACATCGCAGGTGCTGTACAGGGTGATTCCAAGACGGAAGATCATAGTAGAATGTAGGGGTTCTATATCAGGAATTACTATTCTGATTTGGGAAAGTAACCCCCATAACAGTACCTAGGACCCTTCGGGGATTGCATGGTGTCGTTGACTGTCTCAGCACTAGTGCCAGGCTATAGTCGTCTTCTTCTCAAACTACTGTGGCAAGATCGAAAGCCTTCGGCACTGAAGAAGACACTCAGCGGTAAACCTTCGGCCTGGATATCTGCAACCGCCAAGAGCCACCGCGCTACTTGGAGGTTCATGGGTAGTTATAAGTAATAAGTAGGGTTAGAAGTCCCCTAATATTGGTTATAGGTATAGCCACCCTACTTATAGCCACATAGACCCTATACCCTAATGGAATCCCTATAGATCCCTTTCAAGGGACCCTTAAAGGAACCCTTATAGCTACCCATGAACCTCCAAGTAGAGAAGAATGCCAGCATCCCAAGCTCTCGAAGCTCCTCCTGATCCCCAAAACAAGGATGCCCGGTAGTGCCCTTATTCTGTAAGGGCTTAGGTTTTAGGGTCTAGGGTTTATAGATTTTAGACTAGAGTTCTGGGTTTTGGGTGTGAACAGGCCCCCCATGTCTTGTACTAGGATGCCCAGTAGGGGTTCCTTCAGGGGGTCCTTTAAGGGATCTATAGGGGTTTCTACAAGGGGTTCCTTTAAGGGATCGAGAGGGGTTTCTATAAGGATGCCCAGTAGTACCCTTCTGATAGTAGTGGTACCTTATGTGGGGGGTCCTTAGAATAAGGATCCTACTATTTGGGGTACTATATTAGGGTTTATTGGGTATATGGACCCTTACTTGGAGAGTCGGGGGACTTAGTAACTGGTTGCTTTAGGGACTTATAAGTACCATAACCCCAGTTAGGGTCCCGTTTAGGGTACTTATAAGTCCACTTACTACCACTTACTAAGTCCCCCGACCCTGCAAGCAGTAGCCCTTATTCCGCTATTTGTAGTCCCAGGTTCCTTATTCAGGTACCCAATACCAAAAAGGGAGCCCTTTTTATTCCTAGGTTACCGGGCTTCTTAGAAAACGTGAACCCCTCGAAACCTAGAACGGCCAGGCAAAAACGACTAAACACCCCAAAACACCCTAGACCTATAGCCCGAAAGTCATGTGTTCCAGAAGTCGCGAAGCCAAGGTCGACGATGGTGGGCCACCTCATCGCGGACAGCGGCGCCATCGTTGCTTGGATTGCGGGTGACGACTGTGGCGATGATAGCCATGATGGTAGCTTTGATGATTACGAGGGTAATGCAGACGCTGACGACGGTTTCATAAGAAGACGCCGGCAGCGAACATCATTGGCGGCCGTAGGCTAAACCATGACATGTCAAGGATGTTGGTGAAGAGGTCTCATACGCGATGATACTGATGAAGACACGACGAGTAGTCGTATGTAGATGTCGGTGCTACGGTTGATGATGGCGAGGAGCCTGAACATGTTGCAAATCGCAACGTAAACTGCCCACGATATTGCTGGATATCACGACGGCCATGGTGGTGATGATGATGATGACGCACGGCAAAGCTTATGATGCCTGTGCCGGGTTTGGAGAACGACGATGATAGAGGAGCTGGCCCATTGCTCAGTAGATCTCATTGAGACCGGAAGTTTCCAAGACCCCAAGGACGCAGAGAACCTGCAGAGGATCTTCGACGAGGCGGATCGGCGAGGCAGGAGGCAAACACTTCATGGGCGGTTCAATGAATTAGTGTCCGTTTTCGGGTTCTTTTTATGTGTTTTAAAAGGGTGCCGAACTATTTTGTTTTGGGCACCTACAAAAAAGACCCTAATTTAGAGAGCTACCCCCCCTACACCTGGAACGTCGAAACTTGGTTCCAGATTGGCGGGAACAGCGGGGCTTGAGCCGTGACAGGTGATGTGTTATCAACGCTAAGCCGCTAAGCCCTGAATCCCAAGCTGTCGCCGTGTCGGGTCCTGAAACATGTTCGCCGTTCTGGGTGGATCAGGAGTTACCAGTATCACCGGTAGACCAGCATCAAAGAGCAGTGCTGGTAAACCAACTAAGCCATCCTAAGCCTAGCCAGAGCACACACGGGGGTTGTCAAAATCATGGTCCCTTTTTGGGTCCTTATTATAATGCGGCACCTTTCATTCAGGGTACCCAAGAAGGGGCCAGAATTTTGACAACTACCCGCATCAGGCCAGCCCGACCGACGCTATGCCTGGATCTTGGACAAGCTGAACTTTGCAGCTCGACATTTTGTTGGATTGATTCTTATTCTTAGTTTTATGCTGTTCTTGAAGAGTTTCCAAAGTGCTTTTGAGACGTTAACGGAGTTGTGTCGGCTTTGGCTGCGGATCTGGCTATGGAATTTAGCTCAAGTAAGTAAACGAGGAAAGTGCTTTGCTCGTTTTTCTTATGCGTCCTAACCCAAATTAATGGCCAGATTGTTCATGCGCGCCAGGTACTGTTGATAGTCTTGCAGAGAGATCCATTGTGACAAAACCCGGCTGCAGCGTTATTCAGTGGCCCTTGAAAAATATGAGTTCGCTTGTTCGTAGTTTTATCGTCGTAACAGCCCTAAAGCCTTAAGGTGCATAAACTTCTGCAACCCACAAATTAAGTCCTGTAGTCACACCCCTTCAGAAGCTTGGAGGGACCTCGAACATGAGTGGACCAGGAGCGCAAGCGCGGTCACAGCATGTCGGTGGCACTGTGGAGGCAAGATCGAGGGTGCAAGATAGCATTGGACGAGAAGCGAAGGGGGTTGCTCAATATTAATCTGGATTGCCTTGTCTTCCTGAGGGTAATTTCCATCAGGTTCGCTTGAGGGTCTGTTACTGTAGGATGGCACAGGGATGTCAGCATCAATGGATGCCTATAGTTTCTGTGATGTGCATGATGCAAAACCCTGCATAAGCCCTATATGGGAGTTTCCGAAAATTAGGGACACCTTTCTTTTGGGGTCCTTATTAAGGATCCTACTATTTAGGGTACTGTACTAGGGTCCCCAATTTTCGGAAACTCCCACTTGTCTCGTTTGCGGCAGCTGCAGAAGGCTGGCGTCCAGGCGCTGCCGCTTCACGGTGATGGATGCGCCACTTGGCAGGGCTTTTCTAGTGCAAGGATGCCGTGCCCTTTTGGGGACCTAAAAGGGGCCCGAATTTGCGGAAACTTAAAGCATCGCGAGTTAGAGTCTTAGGGTATGGGGTACCCCTTGGCTTTAATTTGTCAACAGCTCAGTATACTGTGCCTGTACAGCCGCTGACTACGGAAATGCTTCCAATGTATGCTGTAAGTCCTGACATTGAGATCTCAATACAGCTGCGGCATTGGCCTGGTTGCGGTTCCAAGACGGATCGTGCTCAAGTTGATTCCAGCGCTTCCGAGGAGTACAAGTATTATCCCAAACTCGAACGGTGAACCCTAGAAACCCCAGACCCTGTACCCCTACACCCGAATACCTAAACTCCATAAGCCGTGTCAGCCCCAACGCCCTACTAGCCCTGAAAGCCCTACAAAACCAAAAACAAAAAGCCCAATGCCCTAAACCCCAAACCCTTACAAACCCTAAACCCTAGATACCCCAGAACTTCAATGCCCTTGAGCTGTAAAAGGCCGGGCCACAAGGACTTCTCCAAAGACATCGTAACGGCCATGTCCCAGGCGATGCGACCCTCAGACGCCCTAAACCCTTGTAGGGGGTTTGGGGGGTTTAGGGTCCCTAGGGGCTTTGAGGACCTGAGGATTCACTTTAGCATTTGAGGTTAAGGGGTTTGGGGGGGGGGGGGGGGGGCGCCCCTACCACCCTTTGAGCCCACTGCTAAGGGCCGCAAGGGTTCTGTTGACCGCTACTTGGAGGGTCCTTTGTAGGGTTTTCGGGCTTCTGGGGTTCTACTCGGTGTCAAGACAAATCTCTAGCTTGCAGGGAGCTGGTGATTCTTGCGTCTTCTTTCATGAGATCGCAACTGTAGAGTCTTCATAACCTGCTTGCACGGCAAGACCAAGCACTGCAGAAAGCAAAAAGCCCGAAACTCTAACTGGTTGAAGACTTGATACTGAAAAGTTGCTCGGCTTCTATGACAGGAGCTTATGGTGTTTGTGGATGAGGGTGTCGACTTTAGCATTTTAGGGCTTGGCGGCGTAGGCCTTAGGGCATGAGGTTTAGGGATCACTCCTTCCTGGGAGCCGACCTCCAGAAGCTAGCTCTCAATGGCAGGACACTCACTTTCGGGACTCTGGCCTTGTAGGGTTTTACAGTGGGATTTAGGGTTTAGGGCTGAGGGTGTCGGTTTTGGAGCCTTGCTGGGCCGATTTTTGTGGGGAGCCGACGAAGTCAACTGCTACTTGGAGGGTCGGGGGACTTAGTAACTGGTTATTTTAGGGACTTATAAGTACCATAACCCCAATCAGGGTCCCTTTTAGGGTACTTATACGTCTACTTACTACCTACTTACTAAGTCCCCCGATCCTCCAAGTAGCATTCGGCATGCTGAAGCCTTCGAGAGTGAAGTTGTGTTGTGCCCTATTCAATACCTTTGCCCTTGACGACTTAGTCGACGATGGGGTTCAAGAGCCATGGGTACACGGCCCCCCCAAAATCTGGTAGGCTTATTAAGGTATGTACACAGCTTAGGGCACTCTGGAAGCTTCACTGGTTGCTGAGAACCTCGCAAGAAGCAGCGCCGTAACTCCGTAATCCGCAAAACCGGCCCGACGACGTCGAGGCGGACATTGCCGTTCTAGTGGTGTCGACGTCTAAAAGCGACCTGGAACAGGGGGAGGCCGGACCCGGCTGTGCCCCTGTTTGGGATCTATCATCTAGAGTCTCCTTAGGATTTTATATTCTTGTTCATACAAAACCGGAGATACTATTCACAACATTATCTTTATTATGGTTCTAAGAGGGGTATAGTTATAGGGCAGGGTGTGGGGTTTGGGTACTTCAGGCAATGCAGGATCTTGACCATCAGCAGTGTGATGTAGAGTACGACACTCAGCTCCCATCAGAATCACGATTATGAGATAGCTATCCTGAAAACGTTTTTATATAGCAATCATAAACATTATAGTATGACCCGGAACGCGCGCAAGTTGAGTAGGCAATGCGGTTTTCATCCAACTTACCCCTAACTTGTTGAAGACATATAGCATGGTTGCACAGAACAGGTGCGGTTATGCCATGAGGCGAAAACGCGCATTAACAAACTCGTGCTACGGCTGATAGGGTGGGCTGCCTGCATTGGAGTCCATGATCATAGAGAGGTTAAAGTTAGGAAGTTCCTTTCTCGCTGCACGGGAAGTTTACGATTAAGCGTTCAGGGCTTAGGGTTTCTGACGGCTTTGGCCAGGGTGGTGGGATTTGGGTCTCCGTTTGGCAGTCAGCCGTGAGTGCCAAGCAGGTGTTGAGATTTCGGCTTGCGAGAGCTTTGCAAGTGGGCGCTACCATGTCTTGTACGTATGTCAGGAGCGGAAGTGTCCGCTGCCCTAGCTAGCTTCTACAGCCACTGCCTTGACACCTTCCTTGAGGTGTCGTTTTGCAACCTGCAAACTGCTACAGTGTTTTCGGGACTGGATGTTAGACGCCAGCTACACTACTCTTATGACTCTGCTCGTGGCTGCCACCACGCACGACCTCTTGGGCTCATACTGGCAGTCTGGCTGAACCCAAACCCCGAACGCCAAACTCGAAACCACAAGCTCTAATCTGCAATCCCTAACCCCTAAAAAATAGCACGAAGGACTTTGCGTATTCCGTAGACCCTAAACCACAAGTCCCAATCCAGAACCCCTAGCCCCTAAAATGAAGAGAAACGACTTTGCCGAAGGAGGGCGAGATACAGCTCCGCGAACACACTCTGCTGGCCTACACCCTTGGCCTAAGGAGGTGCGCTTGGGTTTAGGCTTTTGGATTTCTGTGTGTTTTTGGTTGCGGGAGTATAGGAGTTTGGGTTTAGCGGTCTAAAGAATTGATGTATATGATTTGGGTGTTCGGCTTTACCGCTTAGGAAGTTCAAGATTTTTGGGGTTCAGGGCTTAGGGAGTTTAGGGGTGAGGAGAGTGGGATTTCGAGCTCAAAATGATGTCGGGCCGCTGAGACAGGAGTCGACATGATTCGACTAGCCCAGATCTCTCCGGAACTTATCACTTTCGAGTTTTTGGCACCCGAAGACTTCTGTTTCATAAGCTTCAGAAAGGGAATTGTGGGCGTTTCGAACGGCGCCGCATTGCGCATAGTAAGACAGATGACTTGTTTCGCTGAGTTATTGTCATATCACTGCGAGTTTTGCATTGTTCTCCGGGCCTGACCTGCCGGAGCCTCCCGGAAAGGGTTCTGGTCTGGGCTTTGGGCTTTTGGGTGGAGTTTGTTGAAAGGTTTGGGGTTTCGGGATCACTCAATCCGGTCAGCGTTATCCACCCCTCGAACTGCGCACGGTCAGCTACAGATTCAACACGACATTTTGAGAAACTAAGCATATAATGCAACCCCCGCAAGAGCCGGTACTCCCGGTTACACGTCGCTTGACTGTAACCCCAAAGGCTCCATGTACCTTTATGGTAGATACTTGGGCCTTAAAGGGGCCCCTATAGAGGTACTTTAAGGCCTAAGTATATATTATATGGGTACATGGAGCCTTAGGGAACATACACATGAATGCACATCAGCTCGGCCGGGTTTCAGCGGTGGCCCTCAGGCTTGTCGTGTGTGTGAATAAGATGGACAGTGACTCAGCGCGCTTCTCGGAAGACCGGTTCGCAACAGCGTGCAGGGTGGCACCTTGGCCAAAGATGACATGTCATGTGGGCAATATGAGTACCTTCGGGCTCTTGAATACTAGTCTAAAACATAATACGGGGACTAAATTTCTGGGGGTTCCTTGTTCTACTTGTAGTATATTGGGCCCCACAATCCCGCTCTGATTATTTAGGCCCCTATACTATAGTACCCTTATAGCTCCCTTCTACATAGTAGCCCCTGTAGATCCCGTCAAAAAGGAACCCTTTTCCAATTATTATTAACCTTATTTTGGTCTGAAACATAGCTGCTCTCCGGGCCCGTGTCTCTTCCGTCGGGAAGATGCAAGGAGACCGTTGCGCTTTCGAACTTTGCCGAGGTGTCTATCGTACACCCCAAAAAGTTGGAAACCGGATTAAGGACAAATAGTGCTGGGAATGCCTTACATTGCCGTTAAGGATTGAGGCTAATGGGTTTCCAACTTTTGGGCTTCGATTGTATTCATGTCGGGCCCAGGAGATTTCAGCCAAGAAGAGCTGCAGGATGTTGCAAGGATCTAGCAAAAGCCAAGCGAGCACTCGGATGTAACTCCTGCATGACTTGTTCAACTTGTGTGGCATTGTGCGGCCGTGAAAGGCCATCGAATCGGGGAAGATACAAGGTCGCATTCTGCTTCGAAACTTCGAGACAAAAGAATACGTAGCTGACGAAAGAATCTCAGCACGCTGCGAGGCCTGGTTGATCTCACATAATTACTGGCCAGTCAGTCGGATCTTGTAACCCTCAACCCCAAACCCTAGTCACCTGACGCTTTCTTCAACAGCCCGCACATCTGAGGTCCGAGAGCGCTTGAAGACTGCCGGGTTGAAGACGCCCCATTGGCCTGACAAGGGAGTGAGGTTTAGGGCTTAGGGCTATTAGGGTTTAGGGTTGAGGGTGCTGCGCACTGACTTTGAGGGGACGCGGTCGAACTGACAGTCCAGAAAGTCATATGGAGCTGAGGAACGATGTTTTCTTCGACGTTCACTTCGTTCCAACTTCCGGATGGTGCGGAGAGCCTTGGCAGTACTTCTCCATGTGTTGCTTTGTCGATGGGGTCCCTGCACGGCTTCTGACAATACATGCTACCTTGCTCGATAACGGTTGCTGTTTCTGCTGCTGCGGTTGCTACTCGAATACAACCACATCACTACCACCACCATCACCACCATCACCACCACCACGACCGCCACCACCACCAAACCATAACGACAGCAGTAGCGGTCAGTAGCGGCAGCAACAACAACACCAATAACAGCAGCAAAAACAACAAGCAGCAACAACAGCAGCAGCATCAACAATAACCACAGCAAAAGCAGCAGCAACAGCAGCAGCAGCAGCAGTAGTAGCACCACACTATTTCTACCACCACTACTACATACTACTACTATCAGTAGCACTACCACTAGCGCTAGCACTAGGGCTAAGACTATGATTTCGACTACTACGAGGGCTAGTATTACGACGACGACTGCTACTATCACTAGCACTAGCGCTAGCACCAGCACTAGCAAAGCACTAGCACTCTCACTATCACTGATCAATGTCACCACCACTACCACTACTACCGCCACTACCGCTGCAACGACCACGACGACGACATGATGACCAAGACGACGAGGGATGCTGCTGGTGATAGCTCGACTGCTGGTGCCACTGCTTTGACAGTCAGGGTTTTCCTGCCGGGGCCTCCTTGCCTACCTCTCAGCAGCATTCTCCCACTGCCGCGTTGAACTGAAGCTCTTTCTGATTTGGATTCGCACAACTCTCTCGCAGATTTTTGGTACTGAGGCCGTGGCCTATCAGGATTTGTTCATGATGTGTCTAATTCACTGTTTGCCGCCATTGCTCTTGTACAAACATGAACCGGAACGAAGAGCTGTCGCATCCACTCCTATCACCACACTATCTCCGCGATTGATACTGGCACTGCATCTATATTGGCAGCCATGACCGTCGTGGCGGCAATGATGACCTGCATTATCATAGAGTTGAATAATGACCTCTTGAGGGACTCAAAAGGTACTAAGTTGTGTTATGAAGGAGGGAGGAGTGCAGACCAGAACTACATTCAGTTGTGACAACCATACCTGTGATCGGTGTATATATATATATATATACACATATGCATATGTATAGATACGGAGCTTGCTGGTCAGACTCGTCGACGACATGATGCAGATGCTGAAGCTGTGAACAAAAACCACTGCCACGGTTTCAATGAGCCGCAGACTATTTAAACCGAAGTTCGACCTCAAAGCCTAACGTAGGGGCCAAAATTGGTTTGGTATAATGGGCCCCAACACCCAAATTCAAACAAGAAGGCCTGTGGAGTGAGCCAGGACAACGTTATCAGCCGGTCGGATAACATGCCTTGGTTTGGAGGCCCTACTCTCATTGAGGCGAGCCAGCACGACACTTTCGGGAGGGCTTCGTTGACACGGGGAATGACAAGAAGTTTGGTTTTTGGTTGAGGTTCCGCAGTACAGTGTGCTTGAAAGGTTTCGATCTACAAGGTATGGAATTTCAGGAAGTACCCAGAGAGCCCCATACCCCTTAATTAAGGCATATACCTTAAATCATAAGGGGATTCATATTATGATTTAAGCTATATTCCTTAATTAGGGAGTAGTGGGCTCTCTGGGTATGCTCTCGGCCGCTTCCGCCTCTTGGGAGCTTCGGAGCTGTTCCATTGGGCTTTTGAGCATCCAGAGCTTCGCCAGAGAGGATGCCGGGATGGCTCTCAACCCTGAACCCTAGAAGCCAAAAACCTCGGAGCAGAGAGGGAGAGGGAGAGCGAGAGAGAGAGAGAGAGAGGAAGAAAACACGAACATAAACAAAGACAGTGCATATTGGTTTTGGGCAGTTGCGCAACAGAACAGTTTTGCAAATTGCCGTCCTTGTCCGGAACCGTTTTGAACCTCCATGACCATGTGCTGCAGGGCCCGTGTTCAGCATTCAGCTGAGCAGGTCTTTCCTTGTCACACACAAGATTTTCAGGCCCTAAAACTGAGTCCCGGCTGAAGTGAGCCCAAAACACGAGAGACCTCGTCTGGCTGAGTTCTGGGTTGCGAGACCGTAAACCCTGAGATGCAGCTATCAGCATCCCAAGATATCGCACATAACCCTGAACTCAAGCAGCTCTAGCCCTAAACCCTAAATCCTGGTCAGGCACTCGATGAGGCCGTGGCATCCCACTTTCGGCCAGAGCGGCCGCTTCGATTTCCCTTGGCGGAGGTCGGTTCTCAAGAGCTACCTACGTCTTACTGTAAGAATCGTTCTGCCTGTACAGGTTGCTGTTGTGTTGCGACGGCTTGTATGGCTAATGCATGAGCTATCTTGCTTCTCTTGTCCGCCTTGGTTTTATCATTACCCTTAGTTGCCATTGCAATTCGGAATGCTGAAATGTCCAGTACTGTTCAGGGGCGGATGGGCCCGTCTTGTAGGTGCAATGCCTGAGGTTTTGGGGTTTCACGTTCTGCTGTGGAAGCTGGGTCTACCACTGTAAACCGAAGATGACGAGTAGGGCATCCGCGGCAAGAGCCCACAAAGCCTTCTCTACAGCCCAGCATACAACCCGACGAGACTGTATATAAGAACCCTGTCATTTTGCCTGTTTACATCTGCGAAGGTCATGAAAGTCGGTGGAAAGGGAACCGTGGTCGTCGGCCGTGTGGCCACGGGCTCTTTGCGCTGTGGAGCGAAGCTGTCGTGCCCAGTCGTTGTTAGTGGAATGGAGGTGTGAGGTGTGCTTGATTGTGCCTGTTTACGACACCTTTTGTGGCAGCCCAGGGTCGCGTGCCGACACCCCCAAGAAAGAAAGCATTTTCAGTAAGCATAGGTACGGAAAGATCTGTATGCCGTCGCACGCAAGAAGGGTGGGAGCTGGAAGGTTTTGAAAGCATAGACGCGGCGACTTTCCCCGATCCCTTGGGCACAGCCCCTACGAGGTTCGCACCGGGAGGTGCAACAGCAGAGGTGACGGCCATCGCTATGCACCACGAGCCGCTGAATGAGGTCCCAAGACTTATAGGGGCTACTCAGTACCAACGTTCAGGATTTAAGATCAATGGCATTGATGGGTCTTGTGGGGCACATTGGGTTCAGGGATCAGTATGCTGTAAGAACAAGTAGTAGAACTTCTCATGTGTTGCGTTAACGGTAGAATTCATTCATTGAGTGCACCTTCGCAACTTAAAGCAACGGAAAAGCTTAGCTTCAGCATGCCGGCAAATGCTGTGGTTCCTTGAACGACTGGCAGGGTTGATTGGGATTTCAGGATCAAAGGGAGCTTGAAACACATACAACATCCCTAATGTAGGAACCTGATTAAGAAACCCTGGGCCTAAAACCCCAAAATAGTAGGATACATATAAGGAACCCTAATCAAGGCCCAAGGTTTCCTAATCAGGTTCCTACATTAAGAAATCAAAAGCAAACCTTCCCCCATCCTCGGTTTCGTTTCCAGGACCGCAAGCACAGCACCGGCTTGGAGACAGTTTAAGATGCTACTTTTTTGGATTCCTTATCATGTAATTTTGGAGCATAATAAGACCCAAAACCCTAATTTTCCCTAATTATTAATGCCCCTATATTAATCCTCTATTATATTGCTGTCGGTACGACTTGGCCGGGCGGTCATGTGCACACCCCTCAGTAAGTCTCTCAAGATCGCGTCAGTGGTTGTAATGGCCGTATCAGCAGACTAGAACTCTACACCCTATTCTTTGCAGGCCGTGGTCGGAAACACGGTGACTGTGACGGTGGATGCTGAGATGAGCGAGCTTCGACGAGGCGAGGGTTGGGATTCTACAAGGGTCCGGTTGGAGTTCGCTTCTACGAGGGGACATAGGTGTTTCTGGTCCAGGGCGGTTTAGGAAGAAACTGGCGGGGCGAGCTTGAATCAAGCCTGTGTAAAAGGCTGAGAGTATGTAGCTTGGAGTCATCTCGCATAGATTCCAAGGGTGCGAATTCCTCCCATAAAGAACTTGGTGTAGCTTTGTTTCTTTGTTGGGGGCAGGGTGGTTCTTGTTATGCTTGAAAGTTACTTGAAAGCCAAGTGTGTGTGTGTGTGTGTGTGTGTGTGTCTGTGTGTGTGTCTGTGTGTGTGTGTGTGTCTGTGTGTGTGTGTGTGTTTGTGTTTGTGTGTGTTTGTGTGTGTGTGTGTGTTCGTGTGTGTGTGTGTGTGTGTGTTTGTGTGTGTGTGTGTGTGTGCGTGTGTGTTTAGTCTAGATTCCGCACCGTCCATGTCCTTTGGGTTTGTGGCTCAGGTGCGTCATGTATACATCTTGCGGTAATTCAGTGGTGATGCTGCAGGATGGCATGGCTTCGGGCATGGCTGTTTTTCAGGTCTATTTATGCTGCAGAGCACTCAGCACGATTCCCGCCCTGGTGTTGAGTTGTTTCGTTAGTTTATCGGGGAAGCTTAAACCTTTAACTGTTGAACTTCTCTTCTCTACAGGCACCCCGCTTCTGGAGTCTGGAAACCTCATTAAGAAAACTTGCTGGTCCTGAACCCTTACCGGAGTAATGCACTACCGGCGCAGTAGGCTATTTCATACAAACATTGCTCAATTGTAGCTGAAGTTGTAACTGTAATTTTCTGAAGAAAGTTCATAGTATGCTGCCGATCAAACTCGAATATAGGTCTCATCTACAACCGAGCAAATACCTCGCCTGCCATGTCCGAGCGGGCGCCGAAACCCCCAAACCTCAACCCTAAACTCTGCAACCCCGCTAAATCCTAAACCCGAAACCCTAATCCCTAAACCCTAATCTTAACCCTAGGCCCCCTTCAACTCTGAAGCCCCAGCCCTATGAACCTGTCATAAATCTTACACCGTATATACACTGTTTCGGGTCTTGGCTTCGGGTTCGGGCTCCGAGACACAGTGCCGCCGTGCTCTTTTGTCCTTTCTCAAGCCAGAGAGCATTCTAACAAGTGCCTCCGCGAGAGATACTTGCCCGAACCATAATCGTAATTCCCCCAAACAACTCCTACTTTCGACACTGTTGGTACTTTTGTAATTCTTGGGCAACCATGTGACGCCCTACTATGCATATAGGAAGTTAGGATGTCTTGTAGGGGACGAAGCACTTGATGCCTGGGATCCTGAAACTGGGAGGTTCATGGGCTGATGGACAAAATCTTGCATGACCCTAAGGACTCTAAACTATGGGAACTATGGTATATTCCTTATAACGGGTCATGCAAGATTTTGTCCATCAGCAGTATAATCCATGTTCGGGGACTTATAACCCCACTCCAAGTAGGCCCTAAATCCTACACCATTATAGAACCCCTATAGACCCCAAAAGGAACCCTTATAACTACCCATGAACCTTCGAGTAGGCCCTAAACCCTATACCCCTATAGAATCCCTATAGATCCCTTTAAAGGGACCCCCCAAAAAACCGTATTACTACCCATGAACCTTCAAGAAGGCATGGTGGGTTCTGCCGTTGATGACAGCCCAGCATGCGAGCCGCCTCTGCGGCATTTTTAAAAATAAGGTTAAGGGTTTATGGTTCCTATAAAGGCTACTAGAAGGGTTCCTTTAAGGGATCTATAGGGTTTAGGGTTGTGTTAAGGGGTTTGATCCTGCTTGCGGGGCTTATGGCGATTTGAAGATATTACCCTGAGGGTCCAGATTACTCAGACAAGGTATTGAGGTTCCGGATAGTAGTAGCTGCACTGATAGATTTAGAAGGAGTATACTACGATTACCGAGCAGTTGGACCAGGGCTGCCAAGGAACGATTTCGTTTGCGAATTCTGACAAAGAAGCAAGTCCCACAGCTGGGTCACTGCTACGGAAGCTGTTTATTGCGAAATGATCCCTGTGTTGTGTTTTCGTCTTAATGGTTGGTGTCCCGCAACGTGACAGCCTTCAGACACCCGACCCGAGAAGATAACAGCCCCGAGAAATCGCGAATTCGGTGCAGCCTGCTCGCCAGTTAGTAGCGAGTATATATAGCTTGGAAACGTCGTCCGAGACGCCAACAACAGACAACAATACACCAGCCAGCCTCAATCGAAGGTGCTCCTCCTTCCTAGCGCAAGTCATCGTTCTGAGCGATCCTCGTGCAGGCAAGGCCATTTGATTACGGAAGCTTGAGAAAGCTGCTGCGGCGTTAGGCTGCGCAACTAGTATTTTAGAAAGATCAGTTGCAGGCGAAATCCGCGATGGCTCCGAACTTACCGTCGTTTGCCGCCTGGCCTCTCAACGTTCCAGAACCCTAGACCCCGAAACTCCTAAACTCAAGCACTCAAGCCCCGATACTGCTGATGCTATAAATCCTGCATCACCTTAAGGACACCTAAACTATGGGAATTATGGTATATTCCTTGTTATGGGTAATGCAGGTTTTATATCATCCACCGTAGTGATCTCCGAAGCGGGGTATGCCATAGCTGAGCTCCATGCTCTGCCACGCGGGCTCAAGCCCCGAGATTCCCTTTCATAGTCCCTATAGAAATATAGTATGTATAAAGACAAGCAAAAATTAAGGCTAATAGCAAACATAAGCAAGAGCCTTATAGTCCCTATAGAAATATAGTATGTATTAAGACGAGCGATGATTAGCACAAGAAAGAATGATAAAGGGCCTATTCTACTTACCTAGGCCGGACAGGGCAAGGCTGGCTAGAGATCCCCGGACCCTGACGCCCTTTAGGGTTTGGGGTTTTGGGTTTACGGCCCAGGTTTTTTGGGAGGTTTCCCTACAAAAGTGGAAGTTACAGCAAGGCAGGAGTGGATGGGCAAGGATGATAGGATTTAGGGCGCAGGGTTTAGGAGAATGGTTTTGAGCCATTTAAGATTGAAAAGCCTTCCAGCCCTGAAGCCCAACACGAAGATGTGCCATCCAGCGAGTTGGACGGATGCCTTCTCTAGCCGCAAAGTGAGGTCAGGGTGGTATTAGTAGTAGATTAGGGTTACTATAATCCCTATTGAATCCCAATGGTTGGCCTCTAGTTCCCCAAGGTTACTGAACCCTAAACCCCAAACCCCTAAACTAATCCAAAAGACTGTTCAGGAGGTCGGGGGGCTTGCGGGCTTGGGGGGGGGGGGGGGGGGGGCAGCTTTTGGATGAAGCGTGGGAGACAGCATCTCGTCTGTGTATCGGTGCTTCTCATTGCGGCGATGATTTTGGGATGCGCTGTTGGTGGCGAAGTTGATGATGTGATTCTTATTGCATTCGAACATGTGTGGGTGTGATGTTGTTGGCGGTTCCGTAGTATAAATATAATAGAGTGGGCCTTCAAACCCCATTCTACTTATTAAGGCAAGGCCCCCAAATATTGGCCTGAGTCTGAGCTTGTCGTTGCGGTTGTGTGTGCCGCTGTGCAGGAGGTGTCGCTTGCTCATCTGGCACAATCGAAGCCCTGCCTGAAGCCCATGGATCTCCACCATCAAGCCCGGATCGAACCATTATGCAGGGGCCTTATGAAATTAGAATAGGGTTTGGGGGGGTACCTAATGTCACAAATAGTATAAGGAACCCCCAGGAAACTTTATTCTAATGATTAAGAACCCTAAACCCTTAAGTCTGAGCCCGATCCGTAAAGACCAGTCTGAGGCCACACGGCTCAGGTGCTTTGTGCCTTTCAAGAGCTGGTCTCACGCTCGGACCGGCGTACAGGCTGGGTTTAGGGTTTAAGGTTGGGTATGTATGTAGTCTATGTGTGTGTGTGTGTGTATGTATACACGCATGTATGTACTGTGCGTGGGTTCTAGCAGCGCCGTAGGGCTGAATTGGGCTGAATGGTATATAGGGTTTGTGGTTCATGCGCTTTAGGGCTTCTATTGTTTAGGGTTTGCTCTGCAAAGGTTCCACATTGGTTTTAGTTTTAGGGCGGTTCATGGGTTTAGGGGTCTATAGGGTTTTACTGGGTTTACAGCTCATCTAGGGTTCGTGGGTTTTGAGAGGTCTGTAGAAGGTTTAGGGTTGAGGGTCAATTCAAAAAAGTAGTCTGTATATCTCGGGCTTCAAACTGACTTGGGGCTTTCTAGGTTGCGGCTCAGGGAGTTTACGGTTTATGGTTGTGAGCGTCATGCTAACGACTATTTCAACGCCTACAGACACGTACTCCACGGCCTCCCGGCAGCCTACAACAGCAGACTCAGTCATACTGTGGCATGGAGTCGGTGCTGCTCGATGCTTGTATTGCTGTTTGTTTCGTTAGCCAGATTTATGTTTTAGAGCAGGGCGTCAATTATCGGATGAGCAGCTCAGAAACTGCACTTTACGCTCGAAGCCGGATGTTGGAGCATCATCTTAGGATTAAGAGCTTAGGAGTCCATGGTCTGGGGTTCATTACAGCCCAACTTTCGCTTCTTGCAGGCAAAGTGCTACAGATGCGACCACTGGCATTGCGCGGGGGCGATGCGGCTCTTGTGAGGCTTTGGGAGTATTTGAGAGCAATGTGACCGGACAAGCGTAGAGAGCAAAGTTTGTGAAGTTCCCTGCCTGGCTCTCTGATAGCAGCATGAGGAATGGGCTAGGTGGATGGCATTAGTTTTGTGGTTTTGTTATCTTTTTTTAACTTTTGGGCCAGCTGCTGCAGAATCCACCTGTGCACCCCGATCCGATCGGCAGCTAGATATGGAATACTCATCATTGACTCATTGACATTCCAAGTTCCAGTCATTCTGGTCGTGCGATGTTTTTGGCAGGGTTCTCTGATGCCTTGTGCAGGCGTCCTGGTCCTTATCTTTAAACCCTAGGCTCTAGACCCTTAAACCCTGAACCCTAGACTTCTGACCACTCCCGTATTTGGCAGGCTTCGCCCTCATACGCCCTTGTGCGTCGAACCGTTTGAGGACAGAGATGCCGCATGCGGTGCCTCGTGCAACAAGCGTGCCTGTGGAGTTCGTATCTTGTAACGAAGGGTTTAGGGTCGCAGGGGTCGGAATTACACGTTTCCGGGATGCGTGTGCGCATGCTATCTGTTTTGGTGCTGCAGGTGTGGTGCCCGCACGAAGCGTTCTAAGAGACCCCTGACCCTTGACTCTCCATGGAAGTTGCAGAAACTGGGCAACCCCGTCGATTCGTACAGCCCTAAATAACACCTGTATGAAGCCTGCCGGAGCTTGCAGGAGTACCCGGCCCTCGGGCGCTTTTCTGTGCATGACCAGAAGGCCAGTCAGAAATCAGAAGGGGAAGTCTCGCAGAGATCGTTTGCCTCTGCAGCAGGTGACCGTTGCGGTGGGCGTGGTTCAGAAGGTGCCGACTTGTGCCGGTTTGCATGCTGATTGTACAGTCTACGGTACACCATCCTCACAAAGGTCTACAAAAACTCTTGTAGCAGGCGCGTATCTATGCATGCATGTCTGAACATTTGCATCTTCGGCATACTCACTCACATATGCCGTGTCTCCATCGTGTGAGTGTGTGTGTATGCACAGTATGCATTCAAATGAGCAGACAAGCACATACACACATAGGTTGTATATAATAAGGATAGGTAGGTAGACAGATAGACTCATAGATAGATAGATATACAGATGTGTGTGTGTGTGTGTTTGTGTGGGGGTTTTACATAGGAATATTGGACGGCAACTCCGCATTCTGGGAACAAATGCGTACCTTGTTCACGGTTTGTCGCTTCAAGTCGCTGCACAGCGCTACTTGAGGGCCTGGTGTAGGCCGACCGAAATGGATGCGATTTTCTGCAGAACAGGTGGAACAAGGACCTCCTTCAGCGCCACGTCGACCGCCACCCACAAGCCGTTCGGTCTGGCAGATTCGGTACTATACTGTAGTGGCTTAAAGAATTACCTATACGATTTTGTGGGGTCCCTGATATGATTTGAGTATATTATTCCCCCCAAACCTGTTATACGTGTGAAGGACCCTATGTTATTGGCCTTTCGCAGCTCGGGTGTTGTGCTCATGGGGTTTATGATCCGCACGGCATGTCCGTCAGATTGCAAAGCTGTCAAAGCAAGTTTCGCAAGTAATGCTTGGGTCAGTAACTCCGCTGGAGTGGTGCATGGCTTCCACACCCTACCTGGACCCTACTTGGAGGGTCGGGGGACTTAGTAAGTAGGTAGTAGGTAGACTTATAAGTACCGTAAAAGGGGCCCTAATTGGGTTATGGTACTTATAAGTCCCTAAACAACTAGTTACAGTACTACGTCCCCCGACCCTCCAAGTACCTGGACCCTAAACCCCGGAAGATTTAGACCCTAGAAGCCCTTCACTAACCCCATAAGCACCAGACCCAAAACCTTAATCCCCACAAGACAGAGCCCTAAACCCGAATAGCCCCTAAGCCACGTGAAGAGGATAATATAGAAGCCTAGATAACTACCTAGAATTTTTGGGGTTCCTTATTATTATTATTACAGCATAAGGGGCCGCCAAAACCCTATTCTAATTTCTAAGGCCCCTATATTCACCCAAAAGCCGTGCCTCTCTGTGAGGTCCCAGCAGCTCTCAGCCGCCAGCACACTCCGGGGAGAGAAGACGCTTTGCTTTGTGTATTGGGGGTCTTCGGGAGGAATTCGACAAGGGTGCTTTCAGCGTTCAGTGGGTTGAGGATTTAGGATATCGGATTTGTCATTTTCTGCCCTTATGTCTGCCTTGAGGCTGGTTTGTGAAGGGTTTATACGCCATTGCACCTGCGTGGATTTGTTTTGGTTTCGGCTGGGGTTTATGGCATTTACCCATAGTAGGCCCCATAGTAGTTCCTTGTTATAGGATTCTAAACATGCACCCCAAAAAGCAAGTACTATGGGGCCTACGGGGAAGGTTTCGGGTCTGGGTCCTAGAGGAGTTTGTCACGTCAGGTTTATCCTTCTCATCCAAAAGCGTGAGGATTTAGGGTTCTTGAAGTGTTTATTGCTTCTTTGTCAAAAACAGAACATACATGCTCAAAGCTCCAAATTGCCCTTGGATACCCTTGAAATGTGCCCATACAGACCGTGATCCCATTGTGATCTACCCCCCCCCCAAACAAAACTTCATGTTCGAGGCCCCTTTATTTGGTGCTTACGTCATAGGTTCTCTGGTATAGCCACAAGGCCGATCGAAATGATTAATTAAGGGTTCTATCAGGTTATATCACAACAAGTTATTATGGTATACTCTCAAAACGCACACCCAAGGCTTAAAGCCCCTTTACTTGATGCTTCTATCATACGTTTTTTTCTGGTATACCCGCGAAGCCTGTTGACATGGTTCAGGCCCCCCAGATTTGGTGATTCTATCATAATTAGGGCTTTTGGTATGCACCCAAAGCCCTATTTGCTTGAGGCCCCTATAATGATTGGAGCTTCCATCATCATCGATCATCTGTTTGAATACCCACGAAACCTATTGAAAGGATTTGGCATCGAATGGTAGAACTGCAACAGTCTGTGAGCAATCCGAATCGTGGCAGCTGGGCCCGAGTTCTTGTCGAATGCATACTCTTCACTACGGGGTCTGAATACTTACCTGGACCCCCAAAAGTATGTAGAATAATCGCCTGTTGTAGGTTTTGGGCCATTATTTTATCTAATTGTGGGGTCTAGGTAGTAGTAATAATCTAGTACTATTGCTTAGCATTGCCTATAATATTATTTCCAGTGCAGAATGTGGCCCAAAGCCCTTTTGTCATTCTTAAGACCCCTGCATCATGGACCCATGAAGATGTCCATGCTGCTTCTAGTGTTCCTGAACATGGGATGGTCCCCCTGGGCAGAAAGAAACTCAAGCCCAAAACCCAAAGCCCTATTGCCACTATACTGGGTTTGAACAATTATATCAGGGCTTTAAGGGGGTGTGTAGCAGGGGAACAGTGGGTACATGATTAGGGATGACTCAAGCCTCTACCCATAGGCCCCATAGTAGTTCCTTTTTGGGATTACCTTAGAATTCGATACCTGCACCTCAAAAAGGAACTGCTATGGGGCCTATGGGTAGTTGACCCCCTGACACCACTGCTGGAAGGCACCGCTAAGCCGAAGGCTTCGCGCAGCGAGAAGCAGGCAAACCAGGGCTTAGGGACTCGGACTTTTGCTTTTCTTCGGCCATAAAGAGCTGAGAACAGGTGTACTTATAGCTGATGGCTTTAGGCGCTTTAACTGTGTAGCATTTGGGGTCGAGCTTACTGGCTACCCAGATCACCTCAAATCCGACACTATCCATAGCGTTGAGATGGTTTGATAGACGTTGTCATGGTTCATTTGTAGCCATAACTGAGCCATCAAACCAACCAGTTCAAATATGCATGTAACGTAAAGTATTGTTACATTTCTTACAGCCCATTTTGCTTAGTCACTTAGTCCCCTTCTCCTCACGGTTAGGTCCTAAACCCGTGTCCCTCCCCCTGGGCCACCCGAGCAAGCAACGAAGCGCCCAAACCCAGTAATGGAGTGAGATCACCCCAAGTGAACTCCAAACCCCAAGCCAGGAACGACGCTAACCCCATGTACGACCGGAGCATACTTCGAGGGTCGAGGGACTTAGTAAGTAGGTAGTAGGTAGACTGATAAGTACCCTAAACGGGACCCTTATAATTGGGGTTATGGCACTTACAAGTCCCTAAAATAACCAGATACTAAGTCCCCCGACCCTCCAAGTAGGGATGCACTGAAGCACAAGGGACATCCCAAAGGAGTAAACGGCACCCCGACATAACATCCCTAAAGCAAGGGCTGAGGAAGCCTGGTAAACTTGTTCTCGCTCAAGCATTCTACAAGGCTTGCGCACGGCCTAAAAGACCCCATGGCGAACCCTTCGGCATGCCAAAGATAGCGTGCCTTGGGTACTGCCCCCACTCAGTAACCGTTGGATAATATTCATAATATAGATGTATTAGGCCCTTAATAGTAGCCTTATTATAGACTGTTACTGTATGGGGGCCATACCCAACTTACAAGCACCAAAAGTTCCGGAGCCTTGAACCCAGAACGCCAAACTCTAAACCCCTGCAGGACCCTTGCAGTAACCATTTTAGTAACTCTTATAGTAGCCCTTAAAGTAACCCTCAGAGCCACCCTTAGAGTCGCGCTTATAGCCTCTGTAGTAACCTTCCTATAAGCCTATTAATCCTAACCCCCAAATCCGCAAACCAGAAACCCTAAACCCCCTAAACCCTAAACCCGTAAACCACCTACAAAATTCCTCCCCCTTCTAGATCTCTTAACAAATACCAGTAGTATACCTTTACATGGAATCCTAAGCCCTAAGCCCTCAATCTCGTAAACCTTAAACCCTAAACCCTGAAGGACCTCGTCTGGCAGTGTCCGAGTTGCGAGAGCGTAAACCCTGAAGGAACACCCTAAAGTCTAAACCACTAAACCCCCAAAACAATTCTTAGCTTTCAAGGCCCAAAAAACGCTGTCGAAAGGTGGCCACGGAGCCGAGATCGCGCACGAGGCGCTCTACAGACTCTCAGGAGGCCCCACTTCTACAAAGGTTTAGGGGTTTAGGGCTCCTTTAAAGGGTCCTATAAGGTTCCTTTAAGGGATCTATAGGGTTTAGGGGTTTAGGGTTAGGGCACCTCAGTCCGAGCTGAAAAAGGGGTTTAGGGTTTAGGGGCTTAGGGTTTAGGACTCGCAGGAGGCCTCTGGTTCGCTTCTGAAGGGGTCGACTCAAGGTTCCGGGTTTCGGGGAGTAGGGTTTAGGGGCCCATCCCAGAGCTTCGCTGCCGGCATAGACTCCAAGTCCGTGCTTAAAAACAGGGGCCCATGCTGAAAAAGGGGGGGGGGTAGTAAAGGGGGCTATAAAAAAGTTACCTGTGCTGTACTATGTTGGGGGCTCCTTTGTCATTATAAGCATATTATAAGGACCCCCGAAAACCCTATTCTAATCGTTAAGGCCCACATTGCCTCTGAAGAGCTCATGAGTTCTATAAGGGTACCATAAGGGTTCTGCAGGGCTTGGGGTTTAGGGCTTAGGGTTTGTAGACTTATATAGAAAGCTTGTCAAAGGGTTCGTGAGTTTTTTGGGGGTACCGTGGGGTTCTATAGGGCTCTGGGTATTTACGGTGTTGAAACTCCCCTAGGCTCCGACAAGGGAATCATAAGGGTTCCATAGTTCTGGGTGAGCTTAGGGTTTCAATGGTCATGATAGTTATGCAAGGGTGTAAGGTTTAGGGCGTAGGCCACCACTCCTGCACCGCTACCACTACCACAACGACGCCAAGAACAGGCACCATAACCTGCTTCTGCGGACTTCGGCTAGCTCTACCGCTACTGCTTCTGCTGCTGCAAGTACGAAGATGACGACGGCGACTCCCTGCGGAAGATGTATACCCCACATGGTCACATGGGAGAACCAAGACCCTCAACCCTGCTTTGGCTTGTGTGGGTTCTTTCCGAAAAGAGGGGACCCTAATATAGCACCCTAAATTGTAGGATCCATATTGTAAGGGCCCCCAAACAAGGTACCCCTAACTTTTCGGAAACTCCCATTTGTGCGTTTCGGCCCAGTCTGCTCTAGATCTCTGTCTTCGCGAAGAAAACGAACAGGCTTGCAAACAAACCCGTGTATGGCAACAGCATTGTATACATTTATCATGCATGAGCTCTGCAATTGGGGCCCTTGAAACAAAGCAGTTCCAAGACAATCAACAATCACGATATCAATAATGCAGGGAATAAGATGGTAATGTTAACAAAATACTACTGCGGATGGAGGAAATCTTGCACCGCGTTTTGGCTATGTTATGTAGCTTCACCCCGCGCCCCTTCTTAACATTGATATGCACACTGTGTATTACTAAATCGTTCCGATGACACAATCTTGCACCGCCCCACGAGAAATGTCGTCAATGTTAAAAAGAGGGCGCTGGGTTGTTGCTTGGATGTGTGCACGAAACAGAAGATGTAGGTGAATTATTTTCGAAACATGTTCATGGTAGGTTTTCGTATATAAGCTGTTGTTATCATCAGAAACCATAACAGGGACCATGGCAATAATAGTGGTCACCTTCACAGTTGAGGAGCCTCTACCGCTTCGGCGGGGACACCGGCTTCGAAACTTCTCCGAAGACTCTGGCGAGGATGGAAGGGGGTTTCAGGATTCAGGGTTGAAGGGTTTGGGATTTAAGTCTGTATCGTTTAGGGGTTTACGGGGTTCGGGTAGGAGGTCTTGGGGTACAGGTTGCATGGGGATGCATGAGGATCTGTGGATCCTTTTTCCGGGTTCTGTTGTGGTTCTGAAGTTTGGGAAGGGTTTAGGGAGTTTAAGGGTTTGGCGACTGAAGGCCTCCAATCTACCCATAGGCCCCATAGTAGTTCTTTTTTGCGGTTCGTATGTAGAACTCTTTAAGGTAATCCCAAACAGGAACCACTATGTTGCCTATGGGTACTGTGTTCTTTTGACTAGCTAGGTTTTTTTGTCACATGGGTTTTGATGGCCAGGGAGACAGGGTCGGTTGCATCCGAGACTGCAGGTGCAGAGTGTGCGCTCTTTAGGTTGAAACGCCTATTTACCCCGAAGTCTGATTCTAGGGATATCTGGGGTGTGGGGTTGAAGGTTCGGGATCAAGGTGTGGGGGGTACCGGCAATCTTCAGTGCTGTGTTCGAGCATAAGCGAGGTGCTTTAGCTGAGTTTGAAGCCTCAAGAAGAGCTTATCGACTTCTTGAGTATCGGAACATCTCCAAGGGTCTCCGTTTCTTAGCTGTTGGGGATGTAGGATCACTGGAGAAACGCTCATGCAAACCCATCAAAGGCCTAATTACCCAGCAAGTAGGACGACTGGAAGTAGGAGGGCGTGGTGCTGGACTTGGAATCCTAGAAACCATCAGCCTCCGACCCGATTCCAGCCTCGAAAGATGGAAGCATGAGGAGCAACGGCTCCGCAACTACTCTGCTGATTCTGGAGAGGCGGGAGTTTAATTGGTGCACATGAAAGCACGTTTGAAAGCTCAGTTGTTTTGTGGCTACTCTGATCCAATGTTCATTCTCGCTTGCGTGCATATACTTCCGCTGATGCTTTGAAAGACCCATGTCATGTGTGCTGAGGCCTCGCACCATGTCGATGACAATCCGGAACAGGTGAACTGTCCTCGGCACCGCAGTAGTGTGGCCCGAACGTCTACGTTTTCCGGCGCAGGTTAAGCTGAGCGGTAGCGTTTCCTAGCACCATGGCAGCCCAGAGGATGATTTGCGACGACATTGAAGCCCAGCGGCTGCAGGTGCACAAGAAGACGCAGCTTTGCAAGTTCTTTGCGGTTGGTGCGGCACTTCGCAGCTCCGCCAGCAGCCAGACTTCTCCAAGACCCGGCTCTGTGCGGACTTCGTGGAGCTTGGCCGGTGTGCACAGGGCCGGGACTGCAAGTTTGCCCATGGCAAGCGCGAGCTTCGCCCCGGGTCCGCCGCCAAAGTCGGCAGGCCTTCGGCACGAAGCACGCAAGCAGCCCAAGCCCCGAAACCCGAGACAGAGGAGGCGAAGACGGTGGTGCAAGCTTTGGAAACATTGCGAAAGCGGCAGCTGCACCATGAGCGTGCAGCCATGAATCTCATGCTTCAAGGCACATTGGCCGGTGTAGCCTCTCTGTCTGGGAAAGGAAAAGCCAGCCCTGACCTCGAGCTTCCTGAGACGTCCTTCAGCCGACAGACCACCTGGGAAGGCGTGGAGACCGTGTCCACAGGTTTCAGCAGGGCTTCCTCGGACGCTTCCGATGCTAGCATGGCGGAGAAAGAGGTTTGCGAAGCGGCTGTGCAAGACCAGCATGTCCCCTTGCCAAAGGCCCAGGTGACTGGTTGGAAGGTGCGGGTGAAAAATACTTTCATCGAGGTCCAGGATGACGAGGACATCATCGAGCCAGTGATGCGCCGGACAAAGTCTTTGCCATGCATCGCTGAGTTGTGAGGATGGACTGAATGCCCTCTCGCCGATGGCTCCGTGATGCTCAGCAGGGCTGTAACTTGCAATGCTGCATGGGCCCATAATTACATGCATGACAGGTTCGATTTTAAGCTCAAGGCTGCGTGAGACTTCTTTAGGTCCTTTTTGGAACCATGGTCTTACAGCGCCCAAATTTTGTTCAAGGCACGAGGTGTGTGTTCAAGCTCGCTGGTTTCAGGCCGTGTCTCTAAAGAGTTTAAGGAGACACAATGTCCAAATTGGCACCGGGACTATATAGTTCACTGTGGGTTGCTTTGCGAGAGCTGTACATTGAGTCATTCTGACCAATCGCTGGCGCCACTGCCCTTTGAAGTACGGTTTTGTGGCATTGAGTAAGAGCTCTGCCGGAATCGCGCTTCTAGCTTCTCTATGCCGGAGCCGCTTAGAGAGTGGCCGTTTAGCTGAAGTCCTGAGAAAGCTACGTTAAGCGAACCATCTGTGATGCTATAGTCGTGCCGACAATTGAATCAGTTATCTTGGGCTTTCAATGGCGACAGTGTGGCGACAGCTCTTTTTGGCAACTGTCTCGTTCGTGTAGTTTTTCAACCATGTGGTCGTGTGAAGCTGAGCTTCGTAGACCCTGCGTTTCTTTAACTTGACGCATCTTGATATGCCTTGGTGGATTCCTCGTTCTCGGTTTATGCAGTCAAGCTCTTCTGCAGGTGCTTCCAGAATCAATGCGTGAGTCTAGATACTCGTGCTTCTCGATTCTTAATCCACCGAGCCAGCTTTCCCCCCCAGTTTTGTGCCCAGCCCTCGCAGCCAGGCGCACCTAAGACTACGCTGTGCCGTTGCTGCTTGCAGCTGGTTCTGTACAGCTGCGACTGAAGATGCATATCTCGAAACAGACGCAAAGAAACATGTTGTGATACCGCTGATGCACCTGAATGCTTGCATATGCGTTCGTATTTGCAGACATAAGCAGACACTGCGATGCGTCTGGGGTGAAGATTTTGAACTTGCACGAGGCCCGCTGTGTTCTGCCAGGTGTGGCCCAGACCTAGATAGTAGGAAGACCTGGTAGCGTTTCCTAGCACCATGGCAGCCCAGAGGATCATCTGCGACGACATTGAAGCCCAGCGGCTGCAGGTGCACAAGAAGACGCAGCTTTGCAAGTTCTTTGCGGTTGGCGCATGCCAGCGGGGCTCGAACTGCGCTTTCGCGCATGGCACTTCGCAGCTCCGCCAGCAGCCAGACTTCTCCAAGACCCGGCTCTGTGCGGACTTCGTGGAGCTTGGCCGGTGTGCACAGGGCCGGGACTGCAAGTTTGCCCATGGCAAGCGCGAGCTTCGTCCCGGGTCCGCCGCCAAAGTCGGCAGGCCTTCGGCACGAAGCACGCAAGCGGCCCAAGCCCCGAAACCCGAGACAGAGGAGGCGAAGACGGTGGTGCAAGCTTTGGAAACATTGCGAAAGCGGCAGCTGCACCATGAGCGTGCAGCCATGAATCTCATGCTTCAAGGCACATTGGCCTGTGTAGCCTCTCTGTCTGGGAAAGGAAAAGCCAGCCCTGACCTCGAGCTTCCCGAGACGTCCTTCAGCCGACAGACCACCTGGGAAGGCGTCGAGACCGTGTCCACAGGTTTCAGCAGGGCTTCCTCGGACGCTTCCGATGCTAGCATGGCGGAGAAAGAGGTTTGCGAAGCGGCTGTGCAAGACCAGCATGTCCCCTTGCCAAAGGCCCAGGTGACTGGTTGGAAGGTGCGGGTGAAAAATACTTTCATCGAGGTCCAGGATGACGAGGACATCATCGAGCCAGTGATGCGCCGGACAAAGTCTTTGCCATGCATCGCTGAGCTGTGAGGAGGGACTGAATGCCCTCTCGCCGATGGCTCCGTGATGCTCAGCAGGGCTGTAACTTGCAATGCTGTATGGGCCCATAATTACATGCATGACAGGTTCGATTTTAAGCTCGAGGCTGCGTGAGACTTCTTTAGGTCCTTTTTGGAACCATGGTCTTACAGCGCCCAAATTTTGTTCAAGGCACGAGGTGTGTGTTCAAGCTCGGCTGGTTTCAGGCCGTGTCTCTAAAGAGTGTAAGGAGACACAATGCCACAATTGGGACCGAAGCAACATAGTTCACCGTGGGTTGCTTTGCGAGAGCTGTACATTGAGTCATTCTGACCGATCGCTGGCGCCACTGCCCTTTGAAGTACGGTTTTGTGGCATTGAGTAAGAGCTCTGCCGGAATCGCGCTTCTAGCTTCTCTATGCCGGAGCCGCTTAGAGAGTGGCCGTTTAGCTGAAGTCCTGAGAAAGCTACGTTAAGCGAACCATCTGTGATGCTATAGTCGTGCCGACAATTGAATCAGTTATATTGGGCTTTCAATGGCGACAGTGTGGCGACAGCTCCGTTTGGCAACTGTCTCGTTCGTGTAGTTTTTCAACCATACGGCCATACGGTCGTGTGAAGCTGAGCTTCGCATGCCCTCCGTTTCTTTAGCTCCACGCATGTTGATACGCCGCGGTGGGTTGCAGATGCAGCCTTGCTTGCAGTTGAGATATTCTGCATGCACTTGCAGAATTTAATGTGCGAGTCTGGTTTCTTGTGCGTCTCGATTCTTACCGAGCCAGTCTTCCCGCACAGTTTTGTGGCCATTGCTCGCAGCCAGATGCACCTATGCTGTGCGGTTGCTGCTTGCAGCTGGTTATGTACAGCTCCGGATGAAGACCTAGCGAATCGTCCCTGGCCTGACATATCTCAAAACAGACGCAAAGAAACATGTTGTGATACCGCTGATGCACCTGAATGCTTGCAAAGGCGTTCGTATTTGCAGACATAAGCAGACACTGCGATGCGTCTGGGGTGAAGACTTTGAACTTGCACGAGGCCCGCTGTGTTCTGCCAGGTGTGGCCCAGACCTAGATAGTAGGAAGACCTGGTAGCGTTTCCTAGCACCATGGCAGCCCAGAGGATCATCTGCGACGACATTGAAGCCCAGCGGCTGCAGGTGCACAAGAAGACGCAGCTTTGCAAGTTCTTTGCGGTTGGCGCATGCCAGCGGGGCTCGAACTGCGCTTTCGCGCATGGCACTTCGCAGCTCCGCCAGCAGCCAGACTTCTCCAAGACCCGGCTCTGTGCGGACTTCGTGGAGCTTGGCCGGTGTGCACAGGGCCGGGACTGCAAGTTTGCCCATGGCAAGCGCGAGCTTCGCCCCGGGTCCGCCGCCAAAGTCGGCAGGCCTTCGGCACGAAGCACGCAAGCAGCCCAAGCCCCGAAACCCGAGACAGAGGAGGCGAAGACGGTGGTGCAAGCTTTGGAAACATTGCGAAAGCGGCAGCTGCACCATGAGCGTGCAGCCATGAATCTCATGCTTCAAGGCACATTGGCCGGTGTAGCCTCTCTGTCTGGGAAAGGAAAAGACAGCCCTGACCTCGAGCTTCCTGAGACGTCCTTCAGCCGACAGACCACCTGGGAAGGCGTCGAGACCGTGTCCACAGGTTTCAGCAGGGCTTCCTCGGACGCTTCCGATGCTAGCATGGCGGAGAAAGAGGTTTGCGAAGCGGCTGTGCAAGACCAGCATGTCCCCTTGCCAAAGGCCCAGGTGACTGGTTGGAAGGTGCGGGTGAAAAATACTTTCATCGAGGTCCAGGATGACGAGGACATCATCGAGCCAGTGATGCACCGGACAAAGTCTTTGCCATGCATCGCTGAGCTGTGAGGAGGGACTGAATGCCCTCTCGCCGATGGCATCAGGATAGCGTGCAGAGCGATGTACATGCTGCAACTAGAACTTCCGAGCACATGATATGCTTTGAATTTAAGTTCATGGCTGCGTGAGACCTCTACTGGTCCTTTTCGGAACTATGGTTTTACTGCGCCAAGTTTTGGTTCAACTCCCGAGTTTTGCTGAAGCTTGCTGGTTGCTCGACTCGACCGTGCCTTTGCTTAACGTTTCTTCCGAAGAAGCTCGCAGACATGAAGAGGGAGGGTCGATGAACCGGCTTAATTAGCAGCAAGAAGCACTTTCATACAGTTTTTGTCAATCTTTTTTAAAGTCTTGTGCCGTAGCAGCTGAAGTTGCCCGAGGCGTGGCCACGGGTAGGGCATTGATGCCGATGCTACAGCATCCGGGGATCATCCGATGCTCCCAGCGCATGTCACACCCGAAGAGACTGCACTGGGTCTACATTGTCAGAACTTTGACAGTAACCCTCACAGCAATTAACCCAATTCTCATGATTAGCTACACCCCCCAACTACCCTCTAATATACCCATATATACCCCAAATACCCACTGTTAAGGACCATTAAGAGCTCTATTACAGGGCCATTGTAGCTCTATTAAAGGGCCATTTGGGGGTCCTGGTAACGCCCCTCCGACCTGAGACCAATCAGTGTCAGACACGTCACGAGGAAGGAGTGCCATTAGCCTTTGTCGCAGTTCTGCTGGGTGACTGACATTGCTATACCCAAAGGCCCCAGAGTAGTTCCTTTTTGGGATTCGTATATAGAACCCTATAAGGTAATCCCAAAAAGGAACTACCATGGGGCCTCTGGGTAGCCACAAGTGGCTACAGCTATTCAGGCTCGGATCGGGGAGGTTTCTGGACAACAAAACCTATAGGGTTTAGGGTTTAGGGTTTAGGGTTAGGGTTTAGGGTTTAGGGTTTAGGGCATCCCTTTTTCATTTGTGCGTGCAGTCTCGATGGGCTTTGCGTAAAGCAGAGTTGTGCAGCATCCCCGTCATAGTTTAACGTGATGCCAGATTTCCTGAGGCTTGCTGCCATGCAGGCAGCTTTACAGAACGCAGAAAGCCACCTGTCTAGAGGCTGTAGGGACATGCTAGGACCACGCTATAATACCCTAAACTCTAAACCCTAAAACCCTAAACCATATTATAGTCGTGCAGCATCGTGCAGCCGTCGAAGCAGGCTTGTGATGAATGCTAGCAGCTGGATGGGCACCTAAGCTGTGGCCTTGCTGCGGGCTTTCAAAAGCTTCCACGTGCGGCCAGAACCGATGCCTTCAACATCGTCAGAAACGTACTTGGAGGTTCATGGGCAAGTATAAGTGGGGATATAGGTAGGTTAACTATCATTATAACCCATAATATTAGGGGACTTATAACCCCACTTCTAACTATCCATGGACCTCCAGGTACCTCAGAGAGCTTCAAAGGGGAACGGGATACGTGAGCCGGATAGACAGATGGTTTGCCAAACGGTCATGACACCGTGACCGTGTGCAGCCAGCCATAGTTAACAGTCATTGAAGTCGACTTGGCCAGAACGTAGAATGAGCGACAACGGCAATTATTAATTCTACGATCATCGTAGCTGAACTCGCCACCTTCTAGCAGCTGCCAAACGAAGAGCAGCTGCTGTCCCAGAGCACCGAGCAAACAAGCAAAAGGCGCCATCCAGCACTGGGTTTAGGGTTTAAGGTTTAGGGTTTAGGTCTAAAGATTCTTTAGCAGCCTGAAAGAGACTTCGGAGGCAGTGCAATCTCCAACTGCGCGGTATAGAGGTGACTCCGCGGAAGCACATCCCCAAGCGCCTAAAACCTGATCTAGCATCTTGATATTCGAGTCATGTAGGGGCCTAAGTAAGTACCAGTTCTATTTTGGCGTTCTGTATGATAGTTTCAGTAGCATCTGCTCAACACCCTTTATACCCGGCCAGGACCAGCCCCCGGCATCTGCACCGCAGACGCCCTGGAAGCCCAAAGCGGCGATGGTGAGACGCCAAGCGGTTTAGGGTTTAGGTATATATCTGGGCCGATACGGTTTCGGCACTCGCATCATGTTAGGGTCCAAGGTTTATAGGGTTTGTTTGCAAATGCTTGGAACTCCGCCTAGTTACAGCATGAACAAGTCCGGCACATGCATATCAACGTCAGCAACACCACACTTGATCATTATTATCATCGCCTCCACTCCCGCCATAGTATGAACTACTTGCAAAAACACCGTGAACAACCAAAACATGACGAATCATGTGGGAAGGCATGGCCACAGAAAGCAAGTGTCGAGGCCGACAATTCGAACAGCCGGCATGAAATAGAACCGCAGCAGGTAGCCGAATTCTGCGATCCACGACGACAAGACAAGAACATACGAGAACATCATCAACGCAAGAGCAACCACAATGCAACCTCGAGAGCAACAGCCAAACACAACAATGGCAACAGCGATCGTTGCAGAAATTGCAATGGCGGGAACGCAGTTAAAGCCGTGATGGCGCCCTAAAGGCATGGCATAGTGACTGTGCCGAACTCAACTTCACAGCACGTCGAACAGGACAATGCATATCTTGCCACCCGCACATCCATGCGCCCATGTTAGAACTCATGCATGCGTACACAATAACTATATAGGAGCACACATGCTACAGATGTAAGACGATGCCACGCAATGCTTCTGCAGTTGTATCACGGCTTGCGCATGCGAGAAACCCTACTATACATTAATATGTACATTGACATCAATGTATACATACTACATACTTACATACCCTGACATACTACCACTTCCACCACACGCAGAAGCGACCGTATGTCTCTTTCTATGTCTCTTCGTCTCTTTGTTTGTCTTTCTGTCCTTCTTTCTCTCTGGCTGGCTGCCTCGCTGCATGTGTGTCAGTGTCTGCATGTGTCTGTCTCTGTCTGTTTGTTTGCCAGTCTGTCTGTATGTGTCTGTATGTATGTATGTATGCATGCATGGGTGGATGGATGGATGGGTGGATTTACGTACACATGCAACTACATGGGCGCAAATGTTATGTTCATAAGCAGTTATAAACTATCCCCAAATCCACGCAAGCATCACCCGCACTTGGAAGGGCTCGTGGTGTTGTGGGTTC